GTTTTTTGTAGGATTCCAGAGTGTGGTAGATCTACATGAACGATCCATCATCCAGATCAATAAATACATCGAGGGCCACCAAGACCACATTGCCATTGCTCTCCTAAAACAGTACCATCATGAAAAAGCAAAATACTCTGTCTCCAGTGATGCTGCGAAATATTTGGCAAAGATTGGTATGGAGGAGTCAGCCACAAAGGAGCAAATACGCCAGGGATACCAGCGGCATCGGGAGGAGACAATCAGAAAGAAGCCTCTGCATGGCCAATTTTGGCTGATGCTGCAGGATGCTGAGCTGGATCGAGGGCTCTCCTTTGCGTGGTTGCGGTCTTCTGCTTTGCGTCCGGCGACAGAGAGTATTGTCATGGCCATACAGGACCAGGCTATCCCAACACGGAATTTACAAGAGGTATTTAATCGAGGAACAGGTGTGTCAACGAAAACGAGTTGCAGGATGTGTGGCAGGGACAAGGAAACGGTTTTCCACCTTATTGGAGCGTGTACAGCTTGTGCGGGAAGTCACTATGTCAATCGCCACAATAGGTTAGCAAAATATCTCCACTGGACATTGTGCAGGAAGTATGGTGCATCGGACATTTCGAATAAGTACACAAGTCACCAACGTCGTGTACAGTGCTGAAACGGATGTGTCAATCTACTGGGAAGTGCCAATTCCAACAGCAGCGCCCGTTGGAGCAAACAGACCCGACATTATTATCAAGGGCAAAGATGAAGCGTTCCTTGTGGACGTAAGTGTCCCTCTGGATAGGAACATCCGCCGAAAATCTGTGGAAAAGATACAGAAATATCAAGGCCTGAAGCGTGAGGTGGAGCAGATGTGGCAGGTGCGGGCCAAGATCGTGCCAGTAATTGTGGGGGCATTAGGTGGATTAACCCCCTCGACTGCTGACTTTGTGTGAGGGAACTGGATGTCGGAGCCAGTGTATCGATCTTGCAAAAGGAGGCGCTCCTTGGCACAGTTGACATCATCAGGTCAATAACTCAGATGAAATAATAATTACACTCTAATAAGTTGCATTGGTTTGCGAATGCCCATGGTTCAAACTATTAGTTGAAGCACCTATTTGCAGAAAATAATTATGATCGTAATATTATAAAGTTGATTGTTCCAACTAGGAACACACGCTTCTTGCCGGACTTGACACTTGACTGACTCACGACTGCCATCCGGAGCACACGAGGAGCACGTCGCACCTTCCACTGGGCAAACCTGCAAGAAAGCACCACTCCCTGCTCAATACACAGTGTTTCGGGGAATTCACCCCTCATCAGTTGAGCTTGAGTAGGCTGAGGAAGATTGTGCCTGGAAAGCACCACTTATATACTGCTCTCCAGGCCAAACCATCACCAGGGATACAAACTTACAGAGACACTTTGTTTCCAGCGCGACAAACACCTCGTGAAGCTCCTGGTAGCAGCGTGAGTCAGAGTCGCTCATGGAGTTGTGCTAAACAGACGTTGAGAGCCAGTATAGCAATTCGCAACGCTGTCACCTCCAACAACTAGTCGCACGTCCGCGTGAGGGACAACAATACGAACTTAGAAGTTGCGACTTCGGCGATAATAGTCATGAAGTTGATTGTTCCAACAATTCCAACAGAAAAACTAAAATCATCATACACCTGCAGACACTTAGGGTGAGACAACAGATGAAGAAAAACGGCAGACTTCTTACGATCACCATCACCATCCGATTCCTCGTCTCTACCAACCGCAACCTCGTCCCCCGTCTCATCCTCCAACTCATCCTCAGTGTCGTCCTCCGTGTCATTCTCCTCATCACCACCGATCGGTCCCAGGCTCACTTCACGTTGCTGAACCTCTGTTCGTTGACTCCTCCTTTGATCTTGATGGTAATTTGTTACCATTGTTGTTGCTATAATTGTTGTTGCTCCTGTTGTTGCTAAATCTTCTGTTCCCAGTGTCTTCGCCGGTGCTTGACATCCAGTACTGTAATAATTCATTGAATAATTAGCCGTTGATCGTCTAGGTCTTTGAATGTTGATCGTGTCGTTTTTTCTGTTGAATTCCGTTTCCTTCAGCCTTCTTTCTTCTTGTTCATGTTCCATGCTTACCTCATCCATATTTGCCCGTGCCAGCGACACCACAGACTCAGCCCCAGCACTGCCAATGGCAGATGCAGGTGGCGGTTCTGGGGGAGGCAACGGCAACGATGGCGATGGGGGCATCACCATGATCACCTCGCCGCAGCGTCCACTTTGGTCTTGAGCTAGATGTTGTTGTGGTGTACTTTCTTGTGTTGTTATGGTGCATTGTGTTATAACGTTAGTGACAATGTGCACATTATCCATCTCCACGGCTCTCGATACGGGTAATGGAGGCCCGATTGCCGTCAACGGCAATTGTGCTAACGATGGGTCTGGTCGAGGGTTCTTAGGTGGCCTGCCGCGTTTGGGTCGCAGTGCCCGTGCCGAGCCAGTCAGCATGTGCAGTGGCTATGGGCTCCCAAAAATACATAAAGCGAACTGTCCGTTGCGCCCCATATTATCCATGGTCGCATCACCGCAATATAATATCTCTAAATGGCTGTGTGGTTGGCTTGACATCGTGCAAAAGTTCTATTGCAAACATACAGTTAAAGACACCTTCGAATTCATTGACGTCCTTCGCTCCCACCCAGTTCCAGCCTCCGCGCATATGTGCTCGTTTGATGTTGTGAGTCTATTCACGAACGTTCCGTTAAAAGAGACTATCAATATTTGCCTAGATGTGTTGTACCGAAATGTTGAAGTTGATACGCCGTGGATATCGGAGACGGCATTCCGGGAACTGATGTTGCTCGTGACGACTGGTGTGGAGTTTTCCTTCAGTGACATTATGTATAGGCAGGTTGATGGGGTAGCCATGGGCTCCCCATTAGGTCCAGTATTAGCGAATGTGTTCGTTGGTTACTGCGAGTCACTGATTGCAGAACAGTTGTGGCCAGCATTGTACGTTCGTTTTGTTGATGATTCCTTCACCTGGTTCGATTCTCTTGAAGATAGCCAAATCTTTCTTGGTATTCTAAATGACCTACATCCTTCCATACGCTTTACTTGTGAGCACGAACAAGCGAACAAACTTCCCTTTCTAGACGTCCTTGTGGAAAAGTCTAGTCAGGGTACAGTAACATCTGTGTACAGAAAGCCTACATTCACCGGCCAGTACATAATGTTTGACTCGTATTGTTCGTACCAATACAAGGTGAATTTAGTGCGTAACTTGTTCCAACTAGGAACACACGCTTCTTGCCGAACTTGACACTTAACTGACTCACGGCTGCCATCCGGAGCACACGAGGAGCACGTCGCACCTTCCACTGGGCAAACCTGCACAACACGTGCCACACATACTGATGGCACTTGGGTCTTTTTCCCTCCCCCAGGGGACCAACCACGGTCAGTTTCTGGAAACTACCAGAGGTGAAAGAAAGTGATTTAATTTGGAAAGGATTGGGAGAACTTCAAATTCAAAGGATCAGTCGGGGAAGTGAACTGCCTGAAAAGAGAAAAAAACGCCAGACCCACCAGGACTCGAACCTGGGACCCTGCTTGTCATGAGCAATGCTCTAACCACTGAGCTATGGGACCAGGCTGAACCTAGAAGGCGCTGACAAGTCTTTCACTCGTGTTGTGAGCTGCCTTTGGAGTGAAAGACTTGTCAGCGCCTTCTAGGTTCAGCCTGGTCGGTGGAAGTGCGCCAGTTCGATTGGGAATAAAGGAGGAAGGGAGCGTCTCAGCTTCCTCGGACCAAGACCATTCGACTCAGCACCCCGAAGACTACAACTGGTGAAATTGGATTTTAGGGTATACATGTATTAGTATGTTATTTACCAAAAGGATATTCAAGTAAGCGCAGATATTTTTTTAGCATGATAAGTTACCACATTGATTCACAATGCCGAGCCAAGCTTCCCTGTCTTGGGAAATATCTTCCGCTTTGGCAATGGAAACATGTATTGCCTTTAAGTCATTCTTGATGTTGTCGATCCATCTGGTGACGGGGCGTCCCCTGGGCTTCTTGATGTCTTTGGTGTCGATTGAAACATGCGCAAGTATAAGTACTCGTAGTGCGCCGTCACGCCGCCGTGTACTAGAGCACGCGCGGAGCATTCGAAAAGTATTCGAAAAGTATTTTCTCTTTGCGGGCATTTTTCAGTCGAACAAAGCCCTAGTTTCGACTGATTGAGTGCTTTTAGTGACGACTCTCGAATTTCACTCGAAAATTCGTTGCTGATGCTCCGTAATTATTTGGCCACTGGCTATCGTGAGAATAAAGATTTGAAACTATAGCCCAGCTCCATAAAGGCAGTGGTCTGGTGGTGGACCAGGTGATGGAGCTCTCGGAGGCTCTGTAAAGAGCACTTAGGGTTCCCTGTAACAAGACGGCAACGTCTGTAGGTCCTTCCCTATCAAAATAATAAATTCTACTACTTCCGGTACTACTACCACACTGGATGTGTCGCCGCCAAGCCAGACTGCACTGGGCCATTGGAGGTGGGCGAACAGAGATGCCTTCGGTTCTGCAGCGGGGGGGCCTCGAGCTCCCCCGGCCTCAGTTTCATGATGACGCAATAGGCAATACCGTACATATAAGGACCCTTCTACCATTTCCAGCTGACAAGTGACAGGTGAGATGTGTACGGTGTGAATACAAGGCCCCCTATTCTAACCAAGACAGCTCCTTTTCGGGTTGCTTCGAGACCCGCGTGCGACGAACGAAACGGTGCATTGCAGCACGGTGTCGACGTTAGAGCGTAAGAACCGAGTTGGGCCCTTGCGAATGTACGATATCGAGCAGACGTTTCACGCTTTCTCAGTCGATCGATATGATCTTACTGTTCTGAGTAGTGACAGGGTAGCGTCACAGACTGTCAGTGCCAACACACCATCACACATATGGGCATGGTTATGTACGACTGGGAGATCTACAACAGGGACAGACAGACGGCCGGCCGCGGCCAGTCACCCAAGAGCCGGCCAAGGCACAAAGCTCCAAACAATTATTTTGTCCGATGATGATAACGATGTTCACTCTTCCTGTGACCAAAGTCAAGGACGGCGCATTCTGGCAAAGCAGGCTTGAAATTATTATGGTCAGGCGTTTCATTCCTTTCCTAGGGCATACCTTGTAACATTACTGGTCTGTTCATTAGATAGAAGGGACCATCGTTTTATTGTTCATTGTATTTTGCACTTGAGACCTCAATGATATTAGAGCAGCGTCGCTGGAATACGGGAATTCACTTTTTCCTCCTTCCGTCCGCAAACTCAAGACTAATCCAGCTTTGTACGTCCTGCCAGGAACTCAGCCAGAGTTGACGCTGCTTTCACATCATCTGGTACATCTCGCTTCTGCAAGGTGCCTCGTGTGGCGACGCGGAAACAACTAGGCCCTTCGAACAGCCGGAAATCGAACAGTGCCTGTGGGATTTCCTCAAATGTCAGCACCCTCGCAATCTCCGCCTCGTAGCCTCCTTTCGATGCGCAAGTGATCGCCCCGCTCTTAGGTGGATGGGCAGCGTTGGGAACATCAGCGGTGGCCGGCAGCATTTGCGGCTCGCCTTGTGAGGATATCCTTTCCGGAACCATCATCGGCAAATTTGGGCCATGGAGGGCATGTGGGTGAGATGCAATAGTGGAGTGTCATGGCACGCAACACTTATTGGTCTCATCCTCGTACTGGTATGCGAATGGACACATTCGGGAGTCTCCGGCGAATGTAGGTGACCTGTAGAATCCCCATGCTGTTATGATTATGCAGCCTTGAAGTCTGTAAAACGGCTTTGTTGCTATTTCTGATTGTTAGCAGATGTATGTTCAGGACAGATTGAGTGTACATTCAGTACATATACGTTGAAGGCAATAACATGTGATGGATTTCAGAGGGCCAAGTGCCGTTTGATCGTGGGAGATCATTGTGAAATCAAGAATAGTGATGGAGTTGAATGTTTGTAATAATGTACTTTTTGATTGGCCGCTGCAAATCCAAACTTGATAGTACTCCTCAGGAATAATACCGCTCCACTCATACCTTGGCCCGCACACATACGCACACACACGCACACACGCACGCACGCACGCACACACACACACACACACACACACACACACACACACACACACACACACACACACACACACACACACACACACACTACTACTACTACTATGTACAACTGCCACAAAATGGCCACGTCGCTCCCAGAAGCGGGAGACAACAGCGAGAAAAAAGAAACAAGGAGAATAATTGAGGTGAAAGGGGACCGTTCTACACATAGCTAGTGTTTCTGTCTTCGGTGGCGGGTGAGGTCCTGCGGGCGGGAGAATCGTTCGTTACATATGCTGCATTGAATGGGCAGATTAGTCCTCTGGTCCTTTCGCAGTCGTTTGCCTCGAGTACAATTATGGCGGTTAAAACCAGCCTGACTCTTCATGCAGCGATCACAGATCGAGCAATGGTGCTGGCAGCAGTCCAAATTCAGGCTGCATCTCGTTGAAACAGCTGGTATTTCGTCCGATGTCTGACGCTCCACACAACGATGAACTGCAAAACCGCCAGCGCTTTGAAACCAGCGGTCACAAACTCCACAGTGACGGGCCCCAGGCTGCTGGGCAACAGGTAAGGACCGTACAGCTGAGCACTTGTGACGGTGAATCCCACGAGCAGTGAATGATCGGTTGCAAACCTTGCAGGTGACTTTGTTGTTGTTACACTCCACGAGATCATCCGGAGTCTTTGCAATTGCCTCGCGCCATGCTGGGCGATCCTGAGCCAAAGTGAGCCAATTCACTATGCCACCGCACACACACACACACACATGCGTGCACACACACACACACACACACACACACACACACACACACACACACACACACACACACACATGCACACATACACACATGCACACATACACACGTACGCGCGCACACACACGAGCACATGAGCGCATGCGCACACACGCACACACACACACACACACACACACACACACACACACACATATGTGCAGGCACACACGCATACACACACATGTGCACAAACACACACACATACACACACACATGTACATGCGCACGCACACACCTTGAACTTACCCATTGGCAATGATAGCGAAAGGACTAATTCGGCGGCAACCTTTAGAAAGGTCTGTGGCGCTTGAGATCGCCGGGGCAGCGACACGTCTTCCCACATGCACAATGATATTCTGGCTCTTTGGAGACATCACGAGGCTGAGGACGATTGTGGATAACCTCCCTCCACTCCGAGCGGTTCTGGGCTGTGTTGAGCCATTCCTTCTCCGGCACAGGCGGATGGATGCGATTGAAATCGTCCACAACCACATCCCGCCAACGTTTGCGTGGGCCGTGCTGAGATCGAGTTGCGGGAAGCTCCACAAACAGGGTACGCTTAGGCAGGCGGTCATCAGCTTTGGCAGGCGGTCATCAGCTTAGGCAGGCGGTCATCGTCCATGCGGCTAATATGCCCGACCGATCTTAGACGACGCCCACGAATGATATCGACGATGTCCGAGTCGATTCCAAGGGTCTTCGCCAATGTTGTGGAAGTGAACCAATCATCCCACTGCTGGTGTCTCGAGATGCCAACGAAAACAGCGCAGAGCAGGAGCCTTGGTCGCTCAGGTCTCTGCTCCATACAACAGGGTTGTAAGAACGAGAGCCACGTAGACACGATATCGGCATCGGAGGGACAAGGAGCGGTTCCCGAAGGCAGTTGCCCGCAACCAACCAAGCACCCGAGACGCCTTTGAAATCCGCGACTGCACATCATGCCCATAAAGACCATCCCGATGAATCGCGAACCCGACACGTCAGTTGGTCAACGGCCTCGATGATTCCATTTCCAAGATGAACGGGCTCACAGGTGGGAGCACACACACATACACACACACACACACACACACACACACACACACACACACGCGCGCGCACGCACTCACGCACGCACCCTCATCCCCCCCCCCCCCACAACTTGTAGATATGTAAATGATTGAACTGGCGCACTCTGATTTCAATATTTCGTATTACAACCTTCCTTTTGTGTTGCAGCTCCTTTTCAGTCCATAACGACATTCGACACAGTTAGCATGATGCTAGGGGCAAAGGGCACTTTGACAGCAACGTACATGCCCCCTGATGGGCTACATCCTACGTTCACATGGACATTCAACTCTGCCCCGATTGGACAAGCCTCAGACTCAACAATAAGTACCGCCACCAACACACTCACCAACAGCAACTGGGAAGTTGGCGATGGTGGCCAGTACATCTTCCGAGCAAGAAAAACAAACTACTTACGTATCGCGACGTTCAACGTGACTATTCTAGGTGAGCGTCGCTGTATGTGTTTTTGTTAAAAGTTTTGTTAGCTGCAGTCACTTCCCATCGATCTGGCGCAATTGAAGAGTTTAGTAGATGCAAAATGCGACATATCCATTTCATCACTTTTCGGATAATGCCAAGAGTACATAACCAAGAGTGTGCAACTCGACGATCCCCCAGCCTACGGCGGAATTTTTTATGACATCAGTCTTTGGCGGCAGTTTGGCTCACTGATGCCGTCATGCGTAGCCAGAGATCAAAGTACAAATAATTTGTACATTACAGCTAGGGTAGTCGAAACAGAACAACGGACAGTAGATCGATGTGTCTTGAACCTGACGAACACTCACCGTATGTACAAAACAAGCGCGGGAAAGCATACCCATTTCATCATACTTCTGGCAAAGAATGACGCAATAAAAATTCCGCCGTGGGTGAACCCATTGCAATTACTCCTCGCCACATTTGAAGCCAGAAAAGTCCAAGAACAGGGAAATAGAAATTCGGCCAGGTTTTAAAAAATTGGGACAGGTATACCATGGCAAAATGTATGGAGAAGCAGATCCAAAACCCAGATTTTTGAGATTTAAAGTGGGTTTTTGATCCTCAATTCGGCCTAAATCGGACTTTCAAAAGCCAGCGGGACAGTTTGCGATGAATGGACTGTAGTTGATAACTATGGATGCTATTAAAAAAATATTTGCATAGTGTATTGGTGGATTTTAGTTTGAACAAAGGTCTAATAAACTTTTTTTTATTTTTCGGTCATTTTTATTTTTTCTACCTCTCGCATACGTTTTTAGATTTTCAGGTGACGAGAAACATAGAAATAAAAACGTGTGGCCTTACAGTCGAACAAAGCCCCCGTTTCGACTTGTTAAAAGTGCATTTCGTGACGATGTTCGAATTTCACTCGAAATTTCGACTTGCTGATGCTCTGTAATGACCCAAAAAGGATTCCTTTTTTATGTACAGGTAGTATCCCAAACCGTATTTGGCCACTATTTTAAAAGTGGTCCTAGTAGGGTTTTGAATGTGAAATTGTGTCTGCAGGCGCCGCTAGACCTACTGATCACGATAACCTCAAGATCTGAACGTCTCTATGTTGGCGCTTGTTGCGTTTTGCGCCTAAACTCTTCAATTCTGCGTGCATGCCATAGCTAGACCCGTGCTGGTCCCTTGGATATACTCACGCTGTGCTCCACATTCACAGGCCTTTTTTGGATACACCTTTAAAACACCGTTTGCGGACGACGACTGGGAGATATGCCTTTCCCTCTCTAGGCAGGCAAGTTGGCTACGGCCTCCAAGCCAGCGCAAACCGACTATGCGGCCGTAAAAGTCAGTCAAAAACTGTACACAGGCTACGAACCACGCCGACGCAAATTCCCACCCCCAGATGGCTTAAGTTTGGGAAAGGCCTCGTTTCGCTAAAATCAACAAGGCTTAGACCATGGCCTAGGTAGTCAGTCTTGGTTACCAAAGTTCATTATTGCCTTGAGTGGTCAAACATTGATCTGGACTCCATGTGCCCATAATATTTAATACTTCCTGCGTTAAGCAAAACTTCGTTGCGTTTTTACAGTTCAGCCCAAATCATTCTATGGCTACGAACACGCTTTGCAAAGTGGAAAACAAGGCAGGATATGAAAGATAGTTATTTACAGATGTCACACAGCTCGTTTCAAAGCAGTCCAGCTTCACTCTTCGTCTGAATCTGATGACGACTCACGGCTGCTGTGTGGTAACTATACACCACTCTCCGGAACGCCATGGAAGGAGCCATAAAGACCCAAACAAACGCTCTCCATCTTCGCAGCGGTGTAGTCGTGCCAGCACGTTTCCACACCCTGCAGAAGCTCCTTTCTGGTTTCCTTCGCCACGAGTGGCACGTCTGTCGACAGGCTGTGGAAGAACGCCAAGTTGTCGACGTTGAGATCAGGATTTTGCGCCGACTGAACGACAACCTGAATGTCGAACGCTTTTGATTTTCCCTGCGCTGCAAACACAAGTGCATTGATTTTGGCTGTGTGCGGATGCGCACCATTGACTCGTGCCAGTACAGCAGTGCCTGAGCGCTGGACGGCTCCTGGACACTTCTTCGAGCCACGCGGTCTTTCAAACTGGTTCTATTTTTCGCACTTTGGTGTCACGCGCGCGCGCCTGGGGTTGTGTTCTGGTGACATCCTGTCGAGAAACGGTTCTGCTTCGCCGATTTTTTCAAAGGACTCCACACTTTCCGGAGGTTCAAAAGCCTGTCAGAACAATGGACTACTCAGCTACCCTATGTAGGGGATAGATCACTGACATGTATGTCTATTGCCGACAGAAATATCATGACAAGAGCACTAAAAACGCAACGAAGTTTTGCTTAGCGGAGGAAGTATGTAGGAGTCCTCTGCAGAGGTGTCCACCAATCAATGTTCTACTGTATAGCAGTGTTGGACGGCAAAGAACATGGGTATCAGCTTGTTAGGTATCTAGTAGAAATTTGAGAATGACAATGTACAGTATGTGGTGAGTGGGGGCCTCCGTGCATCGCATGCCCATCTGACGTTTCTGCGCCCGAAGTGTGGTCCCCGACTGCTAGGGTTCCCAGTGGGGAGGGCCCAGTACCTACGTATGTGTATGTGTGCATTCTTGCAAACAATACAGCGAACTGCATCCAAAAGTCAGAGTTGTCATGACTCCAGTATGCCTGTGACGTAGCCCTTTCAAGCCCTATCAGTTTCCCGCAAGGACGAATTTTCGCCGGTTTGTTCTCTGGTACCTGGCTGTGCCGTTAGGCCGCGGTCACACCGAAACAAGCCACTTCGGGCTTGCTATCCCTGGCGCTCAGCTGGCTTGTGTGCGCCCTGTCGAGCGGTCCCACCCGAAATCGAGTGCAAAGCTTGATTGGCTTGTTATATTTGCCCGCCACATTTTGAGTATCTCGAAACACACCAACGCTCGCAAGAAATCGGAAAGCAGACCAGTGCTCATGATCTACAACTAAGCTTTACTTGTAGTGTTCAGTTTTTGATGAAGAAGTAAAAATCAACAACAACAAGCAAAGGAAGCCCGGATCCTGAATTGCGACTTCGTGCTCTTTTTATTTGTTCGGTGTGCATGGACGCGATGATTCGGGTGACAATGTTTCCTGATGGTGAGCTTTCTCCTCCGCCGGTTGCTGTTCTTTAATTAACTCCGTCGCAATCCACTCTCTTCTTAGTACCTTTCTTCATGACCTCAGTCGTGAGTTTGGTGCCTTGTCCGGGCTTCGAACCACAGCTCCAACAATCTACGCTCTTGAGGCAGAGTCCAGGAATCCATGATCATTGGAGAAAACCGAAATCAAACTGAACTGTTGTATAGACAGACACTGTCAAAACGAAAGGCAAAGGCCTACATGTAGCACCGAAACAAGAAAGAACATCGATATCAGTTCCTCGGCCTCATGTCCACTAGTCTACATGATCTGTTCCATGCTCAGTAAAAAAAGAGAATTTCGGCTTTCAGCCGCTTGTACAAGCTGTGGCTGAAACAAGCGGGGAAAAAACGGCTGAGAGTCGGCCACGGCTGAAAGTCGCTTGCAGGACTTTGTTCAGCCATTTCCCTGGTGATAGTGACGTGAACAATCGATTTTTTCGGCTGAATGGCTTGTTCGAGTTCGGTGTGACCACGGCCTGAGCGGACTTGAGACATGAACTGATCCCATGCATCTATATGCAAAGCCCCGTTTAGGATGATGCAGATCAAAAAAGGTCATCTGTCCATAAAGAACACTGGTCGCCAATTATAGGCGCATTGTTTCCCGTATTTGGCTGCCGCAGCAAGTTGTAGTCCATTTTGAACTTGACGATGCGAGGTTCATGACATTTTTATGGAAGCCTGGTATGGCAAAGTGCTGTGTAGATGATGGTATTGGACTTTGGGCAGCGAAGCCAGCATGCTGTTCATTTGCGCCTATGTCCTACTCGGCCGTGAAGTATATAATAATATATGCATGGCACTGAGGGCATTATGGTTCTTTAACTTCTCTTATACCCTTGCATGCTCTCTCTCATGCAGCACACGATAGAGTTGGATTCAGAGACATTCACAATTCTCTCGCTGATTAATGCCTCTACGATCACCTTGTGATTATGAGTTATACATACATACATACATACATACATACATACATACATACATACATACATACATACATACATACTCGGAGGGAGTTGTGGTTGCTCGTGAGAGTGCTCAATACGCCAAGGTGCAGAGCCTAGTACACACACTTGAGAGGGACGAAAAGCGTTTCTTCTGTAACTCTGAGTTTCACGGTTTTAACCGATCATCAGACAGCAACTTGACTACAATTTTCAGAAGATAAGATTGATATAGGCTGCAAGCTTGGATCATAGCGCGAATGGATGATCCGGGCTGATGGTGTAATTGTAAAAATGCGCGAGTTGGTTGATGGGGTGCAAAAATAGGCGCAAAAAAAAAGAATACACTTTAGGCCTAGGCTCATGCGACCACATGATGTGCTGCTCATAATTACTGAATTGTCCTTCTTCTTGCCTCTCTCAGAAGAACATGTGGTCGCATGAGCCTAGGCCTAAAGTGTATTCTTTTTTTTGCGCCTATTTTTGCACCCCATCAACCAACTCGCGCATTTTTACAATTACACCATCAGCCCGGATCATCCATTCGCGCTATGATCCAAGCTTGCAGCCTATATCAATCTTATCTTCTGAAAATTGTAGTCAAGTTGCTGTCTGATGATCGGTTAAAACCGTGAAACTCAGAGTTACAGAAGAAACGCTTTTCGTCCCTCTCAAGTGTGTGTACTTACATATATACATACATACCCAAGTGTGTAGCACTTTGCCACTTTGCATTGGTATGGTGCTGCTCTGATTCGCCAAATGCTGGCAACACCTTGAAAATAGGCATGTGACGTGTATGCAGTCTCCCTTATTCAATGGCCTACGGAGATGGATGGCTAGTGAACTGGCATTCTGGTTTGCTCGCACCACCAGTGAGTGCGTTCGATTATGCCCCTGAATCAATTCATGAATCGATTCGCGCTATTCACATCACCAGATGTGAATAGGGTGAATGGATTCCGAACCAATTCCATGGCTCATGACATGAAAATCGAACGACTTGAATTCATGCGAATGGATTCATGAATCGATTCAAGTTCATAATTGAACGCAGCCAGTGTGAGCATGCACTGGTTTTCAGTCTGCAAGTCCTCCGATGCATGCACTGTCATGCGTGTGATGCACGAGCGGGGTGCGTATACAGGGGGGTCGGAAGATATTTTAGTGTGGTACGGTCAGCCATATGAAGTACAATTTACTCGTGTGGGAGGGGTGGCTGAGCCGAAAATTTTGGAAATTTGGATCCCAGATCAGTGTATTTTATTGATTCACGGGGTACCTGTTGGTCACCTCCACCATTAAACTGCGCTCTTTAGCCGACTAGACCCTCCTGCACACAACCATCACCATTGCGAGGACACTTCCGTAGACGATATTCATAAACTCCTTCAGATAGCTGTTTCGCTAATACATAGCTCATCAGTGAAGGTAGATGTTGAATGATTAAAAATATAAACCAAACTGCTATTATATAGGGGGTTTCCACATACAAAACTGGCATAGCTGAGGTGCTAACGCGGGAAAAAGAAAAGTGTGAAGTACTGTTGACGCGCATTGGACATGCATGCAGCGTCGGAAATTCGGCGCGAAAAATCAATCACTATTCAATGCAGAAATAACGTGCCAGAATCAGAGTACTATGTAGCTAGTGAGAGTCTGTGTACTAGTATTGCAGTTGTCCGAGCGCCATGAAGACCTGCGAACTCTGATTCTGGCACGTTATTTCTGCCTTGAATAGTGATTGATTTTCCGCGCCGAATTTCCGACGCTGCATGCATGTCCCATGCGCGTCAACAGTACTTCACACTTTTCTTTTTCCCGCGTTATCACCTCAGCTATGCCAGTTTTGTATGTGGAACCCCCCTATATAATAGCAGTTTGGTCTATATTTTTAATCATTCAACATCTACCTTCACTGATGAGCTATGTATTAGCGAACCAGCTGTCTGAAGGAGTTTATCAATATCGTCTACGGAAGTGTCCTCACGGGGTACCTGGGGCAAAAAGTGGTACGGTCAATACCATTATGACCGTACCGTGTCCGACGCCCCTGGTCTAGACCGTCACATGTTTGCGAATACATGGAGCTTGCCAGCACTTTGAGGTCTCTTCTCTGCCCATAGCTAGGACAGTAGGGCATGCCGTGGAGTTAGTCCCCTGCAGTGCGTTTTTGTTCTTCCTTTTTTTGTTGTGCTCATCATCTGCTCAGTACCGCCGAAACTGAAGTCACCCACCGGATCAGCAAGTAATTTGACCGTTGTGTTAGGTTCCACCGTCACCTTCACTGTTCAGTTTGTGAGCCCTCCCAACCCTAGCCCGCTGCTGACATGGTTCTATGGCAAGGGTGTGGAGTTGAACAGGACAACACCAGTCGGCCCCGTGACCAGCGCATCATATGTAATCAAGTCGGCGCAGCTGTCGGATAACGGCAGCTATCAATTGTCGGCCACTAACGGGGTTGGTCAGCTGAACGTCCCCTTCACTCTGAAAGTCCTCGGTGAGTTTGACCCTGCTAACGTTTTGCTCGGAGCGTGCGTAAGAAAACTGCCATTGTGCAAGAAACGTTGATGCAGGGCTGACCAACTGTACCTGTTGCTTCGCTACATGCGGAGTTAGAGGTCTCAGGTCATCCTGGTTTTTGCCACCTATGGCACTTCTCGCCAGGTGCTTACCTTTCTCATTGCATTCTCGGCCGATGAATTGCACACAAAAGCTGAGACCCTCTCTCACCAGCATTACCTGATATACATTCAAACCCCTTTGCTAGCTGACTGGCAGTGATCTGATGATGTTTTGGGGCGGAAGGCATGAACCCGTGCCTAGCTTGCCACTCTTTGCTGCTGCAAACTCATTGTCCATCCACTGGATAACGTATTTTCCGGAGTATAAAACCGCACCTGGATTATTTTCAAAAACACACACACACATCTCAGTGGTGGGTTTGGGGGGGGGGGGGGGGCTCCCTCAAAAATTTCGACCTGTGTTTGAAAAAGCACCAGGTTGCTGTATCCGATTGATACACAGTTGGAAAGTTGCGTTCTATAGCTTTCCAATGAGCCGTTATATGTTGAATTTGAAGTAGGGAGGCCGGCGTTATAGTTGTTTGAACAGTGAAGTATGCTCGTTTCTATATGCTCCGTGTGCGTGACGAGTTATCTCGTCCTTGGCCATTCAGGGTGGGTGTTTCAGGACGAGATATCTCGTCCTATAACGCGAAGTAAAATATTCAAGCACCGAAGCTCGAAGTCGGGGAAACGGGTGCAGTTAAAATTTCAAGCCTATGGCTATGACGCACTGCATGCTAAAGTTGACGAGGTGTTTGATTACGGGGGATTTCCCCAGTGCACAGCCCATGCATGACATTCGCCAACATGAGCGCTAGAACAGGCTGATTCTGCTGGTGTTTGAATCGTCGCTGTCCATTGACTATGAGCTGCAAATCGAAAGAAATTGTCGCTGAGTGTAGAATAGCACTGCAAAGACGCAATGGAGCGGCTTTCGAAGTGTTTGTAGGACGTTCTACTGCGCCTACAGAGCACTTACCACCATGGATCGACAGGGGAGATCCTCGGCTTTCCAGAGAGCCTAAGACGATGGAAATCCAATACCGGCGAGGGAAATGGCAATGTTTCTAGTACTCAATGTGAGCATTGCGTCCAGTGTGTCAGCGTGCGTGCCGGCCAACCGTGTAGTAAGTGCTCCGGCGGCACTGAGCGGGTTAAAGAAGACCACTGGACCCAGGACCACGGAATGCTATTTCCAGTCAACTGACCCTGGATAAAGAGACCACCTGGTAACAGGGACCACATTTTGAGGGTCCCTTGAGCAGTCGTCTTAGACAGGTTTAACTGTGACATGATGTCATCTTCCCCCCCCCCCCTCCCCCCTCCCCTCCCCCCTCCCCTCCCCTCCCCCCCCCCCCCCTCCCCCACCCCCCCTCAGCCAAATCCTGAACACGCCAACTTGTGCTTCACACGCAGTCTTCATTGTAAGCATGGATTTGACTGATATTGAAATGATAAACAATGTGAGTGCAGTGCTATAAATGTAGAGAGAATGCTATTATGTGTTTTTTTTATACCGCAGTGCCTCCCAAATTCAGGAGCAATGTGACGTCAGTAAGTGGTGTGTATGGAAGCAGTGTTAAGCTAGTGGGCCAGTTCAACAACATGCCAACGTCACCAACCTGGTATAGGTGGGAACTCAATGGCGTTGCCCTTTCGAAAAACAGCTCGCACTTGGTCAAGTCGTCCAACCTGACGATACCCAGTCTAGACGCAGCCGATACGGGAAGCTACATACTATTCGTGAACAACTCTGCAGGTTCAGACAGCATGGAGTTCATCGTCAGCATCTTAGGTATGTACAAGCCGGTGTATCTATTTTGGGACAAGCTGCGTGGGTTGCCCGTGTGTGTGCGTTATATTGAACGTTCTTGTCTCCGAGCAAACCATAGAATGGCAATAAACAGAATCAGCTGAAGCGCAACATTGCGAAGGTTTTATTGAGATATCTCGAACAAGTTCTAGAGAAAGTGGTGATGGACAAAGAAATAACTGAAATAACAGATTCTGTTTATTGCCATCCTTAAACTTTTGTCACCTTGCCGCCTGTTCAAACCATAGAATGCTATTCTTTTTTGTTTTTTGTTTGTTTGATGCTGCAGTACCACCTCAATTCACGAGAAATGTTACATCAGTGAGTGGCGTGAGGGGACAGAACATAACCCTCGCAGGGCTCTTCGGCAATGCACCAATGCCTCACGCCTCGTTCTCATGGAAACTCAACGGCGCAGCTCTCCCGACGAGTGGACTACTCCGTCCCAATGGATCCAGTCTGACTATTTCCAGTCTGGACGTGGCCGATGCAGGGAACTACACCCTATTTGCAAACAACTCGATCGGTTCAGACAGCATAGTGTTTGTACTGAGCGTCTTAGGTATGTATGCGTGCCTTTCTAGACAAGCTGTTGAGGTTTGCAGTGCAGGGTAGAATACTATCTGCTAATGTCAAGTGATTTCTAGGTACTTGCCAGGCTGCCACTCTCATGGCAACCCAGGTGCTGGTGTAATCCTAGCATCTGTTCTGTATGCTGTCCTTGCTGCGGTTGCAATAGCCATTGGTGCCATTTCCTTTCCTGCACCTTGTGTGTGTGTGTGTGCCAATGTGCTTGCATGCTTGTATAAGCGTTTGTGGTATGTGTGTGTGTGTGTGTGTGTGTGTGTGTGTGTGTGTGTGTGTGCGTGTGCGTGTGCGTGGGTGGGTGGATGTACGTGTGTGTCCATGTGTACATGTGCGTGTGTGCACGTGTGCATGTGTGCATGTGGGAGAACTGGAACGGTACTCTCTCTTCTAAACACCCGCATTGCCCACCACAACACCAGCACAGCGCCAACCACTTGGTGCAAAATACGATAGGTACAGGAATACAAGTTCATTTTGAAAGGAAAAGAGAAGAACGAACAACTAGACCAAAATCAACGGAACTTTGACCAGGAAACAGACGTAGGATATATCATTTGAAATGGCAGCAGGGTAACCAATGTTAGCGTGTTGTGGTTGAAGCAGGTATTGCAGCGGAGCCACCATGCATCAGGGAGTGCAGCAAAGCCAGAAGCTTAGAAAACAGCAACTCAGAGCAAAGAACTAAGAACATGCATCGCAAGGTCTGTGTGGATAAGCGCAGCAAAGACATAAAGGACGATTCACAATAGAACTTCTTGCGACGCGACGTGCGACTTGCGACACCTGCGACGAGCTGCGACAGCGACATATGGTTCACAATCTTTTTCATGCTTGCGTCATCCTTATGCACCAGCAGTACTATGCACGTACACTGAACATGCACCCAGCTAGAAGCTGTACTCCATCTGTGTATGTCGCTCGTCGCATGTCGCAAAAGTTGAACTTTCTTCAACTTCTGCGACAGGTGCCTTGTGACTTTCTGCGACAGCTCGCGACAGGCAGTTTCTTGTCGCAACTGTCACAAATTGCGTGTCGTGGCGCAGAAAGTTGTATTGTGAATCAGCCTTAAGCGATGACATCATCAGTCCTACGTGACTGATGCAGGTGACATTATGACTCAATAGATGATATGCCAATTAACGTGCAACTAGACTTAGGAGGGCATTGCAGAGTAGTTGCATACAAAGTTCAAAGTTGTACGGGTACTTGTGACTTGCTTTCCTGCAAAGTTCAGGGCCTACCATGTACACATTGTTGTACAAATTGTATGCAACGTGTGTGCGATGTCCTCTCAAGTCTAGTTGCATGTCATTTGGCATATCATCTATTGGACTGGGGTAAGGTCAATATGAAAATCTTTGCTCCCGCAGAAATCTTTGCTCCCGCAGAAATCTTTGCTCCCGCAGCCTGAGCATGTGTTTCAGTAGGAAATTGCTATTATTTTATCTTCTCTCTGCTTTTTGTTTGATTCTACAGTGCCGCCTCAATTCACGAGAAATGTGACACCATTGAATGGCGTACTGGGCGGGAATGTAACTCTTTTAGGGCTCTTCGGCAATGCACCAATGCCTCACGCCTCGTTCGTTTGGAAACTCAATGGCTCCGCTCTCCCGACGAATGGACTACTCCGCCCTGATGGGTCCAGTCTGACTATTTCCAGTCTGGACGTAGCCGATGCAGGGAACTACACACTATTTGCAAACAACTCGATCGGCTCAGACAGCATTGTGTTTGTACTGAGCGTCTTAGGTATGCGTGTGTGTATGTGCCATTTTAGACAAGCTGTTGAGGTTGGCAGTGCAACGTGCTGTTGTGGACATTGAACTCCGTTGAGACGTCAGGCGGCCATGGGGCGCTGGCCTTGCAGCCGCGACCACTGCTGGTCCATGGTAACAGTATGAACGTTAACTGCAGTGTATGCATGCGCTTAAGCCAGTAAGGCCGCCGGCCCAGGTCATCCCATCGGATTTCGATGTCCAAGAAATTAGATTATGACCTACTGATGTTATTTTCTAGGCACTTGCCGGGTTGCAACGCTCATGGCCTCCCAGGTGCTGGTGTAATCCTAGCGTCTGTTCTATATGCTGTCCTTGCTGCGGTTGCAATAGCCATTGCTGCGGTTGCAATAGCCCTTGCTGCCATTTCCTCTCCCGCACGTATTGTGTGTCAGTGTGCTTGCATGTTTGTAGAAGCGTTTGTGGTGCGTGTGTGTGGGGGGGGGGGGCATGCATGGGTGTGGGGGGGGGGGGGGGCGTGCGTGGGTGTGTGTGTGTGGGGGGGGGGGTATGTGTGTGTCCACGTGTACATGTGCGTACATGTTTGTATAAGCGACGTGGTGTGTGTGTGGGGTGTATGTGTGTATGTGTGTATGTGTGCGTCCACGTGTACATGTGGGAGAACTGGAACGTTGCTCTCTTTTTCTGAACACCCTCATTGCCCACCACAACACCAGCACAGCGGCAATTGTGTGTGTGTGTGTTTGCGTACATGTATATGTTTGTGTATGCGTGGTTTGCTTGCGTGCGTGCGTGCGTACGTTCGTGTGCATGTATATTACACCTGTGAACATGTATATAACCTTGAACATGCACAGTTCCTCCTGAGTTCGTCTTGACCACGCAGACCGTAGAAGCAATAATTGGCTCGCCAATTGTCCTGAGGATGCCCTTCGTGTACACACCTCATCCGCTCCCAATTTACTCGTGGTTGATGCTTCAATGCCAGTCTTCAAATTGCTTACTGAGCTCAGTTGGACCAACGTTGAGCATAACGCCTAAAGGCCCGGCTGGAACACTCAACTACTCATTGACAGCTACCAATGCAGCTGGATCAGACCAAGTCACATTCACCGTATCAGTCAAAGGTACGTACTAGGGGTGAGACATCCATCAGCTTCATAACCCCATTGCACAATGACGTAATCTGTACTGTGGTATCTGTACTTTGGAAGTCATTATTTATTGACTTCGCACGTGCTGCGTACAGTGCGTGCATGCATAGTTTCTGTGCTGGTTCTTTGGTTGTCGTTCTTCTTCTTGTTTCGTTCTGAAAGTGATTACCATGAATGTCCTCTGTTGAGTATTGAGTATTGTGTGAACCATAATATGTACCATCAACACCCCCACACTGATCTGGTGTCAAGTGACAGTGACTGAGTTTGGTGTGAATGTAGGACTTGATTGGTGCTAGTGATAGATATATGGGCCGCGATCAGCTAAAACATGTCTTTGGGGTTTCATAAAAAAAGTTGGGAAATGACGAAATGAAAAAAATGTTTTTTTGGAGCGCTTTCACCCTGCACTTCATTCATGATTCATGATGTGGCGATCATCTTCTCAAATTTTGTTCAAACACTTGTTTGGCGTTCTACTTCAAGTAGCTGGCGAGCAAACACTGACAATGTCGCATCTAGTGATACTAGAGCAGCTCGCAGGGCCAGACGATCGCTGTGCATGGCCCAGGTTTGTTCAGGTGTCTGCAAGTCCGTGGCGGCGGGTCTGCAGAGCGACGCTGACAATTAATTTTTGTTGGGATCTCATTGATGTTGATGTCGACAGCGAAGCTGAATCGTCCCCGTCGTCTCCAGTAGCGAAGAGGCACAAGTTGTGGGCTAGTACATAATCATTTAGGCGGCGAACCGGCTGCCTTACGACGTTACTTGCGCTCAGCTCTCATGAGGCGTCTGACGCAGTCTCGGAAACGCAGGCGACGATCGAAAGTGTCACTGCCAGAATTGAAAGAGTATGCAAGTGCAACGCCGCCCAGCGCATCGTGTTGCTTTCCAGGAAGAACTTGGGCCATGCCTTTGAACTGATGTCGTTGACATGCTCAAGTCGGTGTCAACATATTTAGTTCCGTTGTATTGTGCTCCGCCACAAAAGCCACTAAGTAATAGTTTGTCTCTTTGTGTCAGACTGTGCGAAAACTGTCATTTTCTATTTCAAAGTACATATTTTGAAAGCGGTGTTTGGGGCACTTGTAGACTACTTCTGCCCTGTATCACCTTCAAGAGGTCAAGTAAGGTCCCAAGAACTGTTTCTGGAGGAAAACAAAATTTGAAAATTTTCACCCTAAGACATGTTTTAGGTGGTTGTGGCCCATATAGTGTCGCCTTCATGCTGGCACTGTTGCTGATCATTTATTAGCAGTTATGTATGACTGCATGCACATGTATGCCACTGTGAGGTGGCAGCACTATCAGCTACAGTGTGCATTGATGTTACTTGCGTTATAACTCTGGCATGCTTCACACCATTATCACTGGCACACTCTCACACCATCAATTGTAGTTATAAGTTTACTTTGGGTTCACTGCCTGTTCAGTTGACCACCTACTTCTGATTAAATATACGTACTGCCGACGTATCAACACAGCCACCTGGGCATGGTCGTCTGGGGTGTTGAGCAGTGCATTGCTGATCCCAGCGTACTCACATGCATTACTCATACCTTCCATATTTGGCAATGCGCAATGGGCTTCATGATTGGGCACACATGCTCTTTTCCTGCAACTTCACAACTCATTTGAGTTGTGAAGTTGCAGTGTCCAGGAAAAGAGCATGTGTGGCTCACCATTCCTCTTTCAGTCAACGGTATCTACTGTTTTGTCTTCCAATTGTGTTCTTCACACTGTCGCTACGACGATTGGGTGGTTTGAGTGGCGATGCAACTGATGTTGTTTTATTCGAACGAATACTCCAATATTGTGTTCGAATAATCGAGTATCTGAATGTTCACTATTGCATTTGGATATCCTTTCTTAAGCCAGTATTGCAAAAAGTGTGAATACGGTAAAGCCAATGAATCCAGCACCAATGGATGTTATGTCTAGTTCTCCAGTTAACTGAACCTGGATCCGAAGACCACCTGTATACAGGGTCCACATCTTGAAGGTCCCTCGGGCGATCGCCTTAGACAGGCTTCACCTAATTTCGAATTTTCCTTTGCACACTAGTTCAGGCAGCTGCCTTGTGTGTTTTTCCTTAAAGTGGTGTGTGTGTGTGTGTGTGTGTGTGTGTGTGTGTGTGCGTGTGCGTGCGTGCGTGTGTGTGCGTGCGTGTGTGTGTGTATATTATTATGTGCATGTGTGTGTGTGTGCATGCATGCATGTGCGTGCATGTGTGTGTGTGTATATGTGCGTGTGTATATGTGCGTGTGTATATGTCCATGTATGTGCATGTGTGTGTATATATAATATTATGTGTGTGTGTGTGTGTGTGTCCTGTATTGGGCCATACAGAGCCGCCGCTACCACAGGTGCGCTACGTCGTAAATAGCACATCAATCACGGCTTATCTGCCCGGCACTGATGCCCAGTATAACATCGGTCTAAAACCATGCATGACTATCTCTGCCCTCGCCCTGCCAAGTCAGCCATGGGCGTCTGCTGTTAACACCGCCTCGATTTGTAACTCGTCGGCAATCATAACTGCCGGCAGCCTGCATGAGTTCACCACGTACTCCGTCTTTGTGAAGCTTGGCTCGCTGGCCAACGTCCAAACTGCGACCGTGAATGTCACCACACAAGCGGCCGGTAAGTCGCCATTGTGTGCTGTCAGCGGTGCTGTGTGGCTGGCGTACGATGTGTCCTGCACGACGGCATGATGTCAGGAGTACATAACCCCCGAGAGTGTGCGATCGCCTGCACAACCCCTACCCAGTGCTGACACGGTAGAACTTCACATCACGTGGCACGGTTTTTTAGATTAAGCCGGCAAATGGTGCAGAGTGACCACAAGGCACTTGAGCCCAAAGCACGGTTTCGCACCACCCCGTATCTACCATGCACAGGGCGCAGATAATGTGTACTTCCTACGCGTCATTAAAATTGTCGCTTCGCACATCGCAATATTTGTGACTTGGCTCGTCTTCGTCAGACAGTCGGAGTCGCTGTTTTCTGTGTTAGAACACTGGTGCGACCCTTCCTGCGCAATGTCTACTTGTTACTGAAGCCGTGGTGGTCTCGGACTTTGTCGGAGCTCTATTCCGCACCAAGCAAATTCATCGCGCTCCGCACTATTCCGCCCCAGAGCACATTCCGTTTTCTGGAGTTCGTGCCGTCCCACATCGTTCGAGTGGGCATTTATCAAGACTGCAAGCCCGGGTATAAGAATCCTGGTATCTCTCCTGAATACGAAATGCTGAAGTTGACGATGGCAAGAACAAAGTGGTCTCAAATTCCTAAAATGCGCTACTTGTGGCGCATGTTGCTGCGAAGGTAGCAGGTCTGAAAACACCGACAAAATCAGCGAAGCGCTTGCCAAGGAAAGAAGGTGCGGAACTGCTTACCCTACCCCGCTGGAAGGTCGTTACTGTGTACTTGAAAAATGCTAGCTTGCCTTCATCCCCTGCCACCTGGAGGCATGGATCGCTTGAAAACGAAGTTTCTTGACCTGAATTTGAACGCGCGTCTTCTTCGTATTTTTGTGTGCTGAAGGGTCTGCCTCAAACTTTGATGAAGACGTCGACCTTAGCTGCAAGTGCAGCGAAGCGGGAGGCCACAAACTAAAGCTTGGTCCGTCGACAATACTCTGCCTCAATTTCTAGCTGATACCTTTGCCCCTCGAGTGGACAAAAAAATTCGAAAAATCGCTCTGGGAAGCGACAATTTTTTATGACGCGGAGGAAGTACAAGTGTCAAGTGCGTCACGTGATGTAAAGTTCTGCCGTTGCAGACCCCATGCCTGGAGTTGCACATTCTTGGTGGTTAATTACAAGTTCTCTTGGTGACTTGCTTATACACAGGGTGGCTCTGTTTGATTTTCTTTTCGTACCACACCGGGAACATTCTGTTCTTACCATAAATCTTGCCCACCCACTCTCCTCCCCCCCCCCCCCCCAATTGTGTCACTTGCCAGCTGGTTTTTGTGAGGGGTGGAACATTTGATCAATTCTTTTACACGAGGCTTTCTGGTATGTGCTAACAAACGTAAGCAGTATGAGAGAACTGTCAGTGACGTGCCGTGCACTCATTTGCCAGGACTGTTTCTAGTTGATCTGGCGATCTGCAGCATGCAGATTAGACCTCGGTATCGCCATGATCACGGTAAAATTGCATTCTGCTATGTCATTTAGTCGGCCTGTTTTTACTTCGCCTAACCAGCTGTCACCTATTTTTTCATCCTGTGTTTGTAGCTCCTGCCTCTGCGCCTCGCGGTTTCCAGGCGGTCAACATCACCACGGCAACGCTGGACCTGCAGTGGCAACCGCTGGCTCCGGAGGACTTGAATGGCCACTTTGTGGAGTACAAAGTGAGCATTACGTCGCTGGAGCTGGCAACGAGGCTTGTCATCCTCTCAAACCACACGACGGCGTCTGTGCTGGGCCTTGTCCCACATTCCAATTACACGTTCAGCTTGTCTGTGGTGTCATCGGGCGGCGAGAGCGTAAACACTGCCATTACAGTCTCTACCATCCGCGAAAGTGAGTGAGAGCGTCGAATGATATTCCCAACTCGAAATAATATTCTCCACACGGAATGACAATCCCCACACTGAATGATATTCCCCACACGGAATGATATTCCCCACACGGAATGATATTTCGGAAGCAGATTGATGCTTCTAAGTTGGATTGATGTTCACGATTTGCACTCATGCTCTGTGCAGCTTGTGCGTTGGTTTGGTGTGTACGCGCAGCATAGCGTGATGATAAGGTGCTACAGATCATGTGTTAAGCACGAGCTCTAACTTTCCACTATTTAAACCTGAATGATTTTTCTCGCATAGATTGAATGGTACGAAGTAGTGGTTGCGACTTCGGTGATGATTTGTAAGAAAGGGTTTGCTCACCACACCGGAGCACGCGCCTCAGTTTTCCGCTCCGCACTTGAAATGCGACGTATGGACCAGGCTTGCTCGTGTATACCAGTGTCTTTCCCGGGATTGACAGAACCTATTCCACGTCCCTTTTTTCTCTCTCACGTGTAGATTGCACAACTATGCACCTCGCTTGTCAAGCAAACTCTGTGTGCACGGTGGTCGGCAAACGTCGCGCTTGCGTATGCAAGCAGGGATTCTCCGCAAACGGAACGCTATGCCTGGGTAAGTCGTTACGCCAGATGCTCGTGCTGTACCAGCATGTACAATGGTGTGACACAACCGCACCAGCATGTACAACAAAGAGGCAACAAACGCTGCGGCATGTACCACACTCCCGTTCTCGTGGTGTCACTGTGTGTGTGTGTGTGTGTGTGTGTGTGTGTGTGTGTGTGTGTGTGTGTGTGTGTGTGTGTGTGTGTGTGTGTGTGTGTGTGTGTGTGTGTGTGTGTGTGTGTGTGTGTGTGTGTGTGTGTGTGTGTGTGTGTGTGTGTGTGTGTGTGTGTGTGTGTGTGTGTGTGTGTGTGTGTGTGTGTGTGTGTGTGTGTGTGTGTGTGTGTGTGTGTGTGTGTGTGTGTGTGTGTGTGTGTGTGTGTGTGTGTGTGTGTGTGTGTGTGTGTGTGTGTGTGTGTGTGTGTGTGTGTGTGTGTGTGTGTGTGTGTGTGTGTGTGTGTGTGTGTGTGTGTGTGTGCGCGCGCGTGCGTGCGTGTGTGTGCAGTACAGGTCTACTCCTGTTAGTACGACATTGGTCACAAGACAAACCTCATTAGTAGACAACTATAAAAAAGAATGATGCCTGAAACGTGTACATTTACGTCCAGATAGAACATGTAGATGCTACTCGTTATAAGACAAACCATCGAAACTGCCGGGTTATCTACTTACGAACATACACCTGTGCATGGGTTACTAACTTGCTATGTTTGGCTCTGTGCAATAACTATGTGCTTGGCTGAAAGTGGGGAATCATAAGATCTTCCGAGATGACACGACCATATTTGACCCCTCTTCTTCTCTCATCCTCACCTTCCCGGATGGCGACCACATAACCTTCAACTTGTGTGTGACTGTGTGTGTTTGTATGTATGTGTGTGTGCTTGTGTGTGTGTGTGTGTGTGTGTGTGTGTGCGCGCGCGCGAGCTTGTGTGTGTACGTGCATCTCTACATGCGTGTGCACATGTGCGCGCGTGTGTGTGTGTACATGCGTGTGTGTGGGCATATCCGTGTGTGTGTATGTGTGTGTGTGTGCGCGTGCGCGCGCTACCGCGGCACATGTGCTCGTGTGTGTTGTTATTGCTGCTACAGACGATGATGAGTGTGACACTGGAATGCACAGTTGTCCACACAACTCACTATGCAGCAACATAGCCGGTTCATACACATGTCAATGTACTGTCGGTTATGAAGCTAGACACAGTGGCATGATCACAACATGCGTAGGTCAGTAGCATCACAAAGGTGGAATCCATCACCTGAGTGATTTCCAGCCCTACAAGCTGAAGACAGGCACTGCAGGCAATTACTGGCTAGTTGTTCGCGTTGGTGTGAAACTTCGCCACCCCCGAAGATGGCGATGCTACAATCGCTGCCCTTAACATTCGTAACCTATGGGCCTTGCCGTAAAATGCTTTCTGTATTTAAATCACAAAACAATCAACGGCTTCACCACCTCCACCAACGTATTGCACTTCTCGTTTGCATGTAGATGTAGTGCAGGACTGAAAGCTCCGCCGCAACTCTTATCATGTGGCCTGGCCTGTGTAATAGAGCTTTTGAACGTGGTGGATGTGTTGACCGTTGCGAGAAGTGCCAGTTGGCCTACTACCCATTCGGCACCAGAAACAATAATTCTTATCATGTGTTCTTTGTCCTTGTACGCTTGCGCATTTCAATCTTTTTGCGGTTGTGGAACTGGCCCGTGAAAAATCAGACCCTCCCTTAATTTTAAGTCACTGAGCTCATATGTGCATTCAACTGTAGGTTGTTACCACCCAGCATTCCAAGACATCAAAGCTTGTGCCGTGCAAAAGAAAATATCTATTTCAATCTCAATCTGCGGACAGAACCGTTTTGTCCTTCGTGCACTCATCAGCGCAGCACAGAGAAATGAGACCGAACCTGATAGCGATGAAGATAAATTTTCCAAAGCCAGATTTAAACTGGGCCAGAACATACCTTGCCTGACTGCACGGAGTAAATGAGGCCGAACCTGATAGCAATGAAAAATAAATTTTCCAATGTAGAAAGGAAAAGGACATATGGATACGAGTTAAGAGTAACTCTCCATCACTGTAACTTGATACTATCTACAGTCGTACCTTCTTATATACTTTCTGTCTGTATATTGTATCCAGTTACAGTGATGGAGAGTTACTCTTAACTCGTATCCATATGTCCTTTTCCTTTCTACATTTATTTATGGCTCAACATCCGAGTTTCAAATTTTCCATTGGCAGATTTAAACCAGGCCCGAACGTACCTTGCCTGAGTATCTGCCTCAAACTGACAAGTCAGTGAGCTCTGCAAAACACATTTCGATCTCAATCGAAGGTTTCTGTACCTGTCTTTACTGCCTCTGTTCCTGTCTTGCCGCTGTGTTTAGATTCTGACGAGTGTAAAAAGGATCCGGATACGTGTCCCCCCAGTGCGGCTTGCTTCAATACTTTGGGCTCCTACACGTGTCAATGCTCGAGTGGTTTCCACGCCAACAGCACGGCAAGCGCTGCAACCATCTGCCAAGGTCAGGCAATCACTCCATGTTGTCACTTTTAAAAACCCATGGTAGTATATTTACAGCCGTGTATACCGCACACTGTAAAACGACAAACATTCGCGAGCGATTAACTTTCGCGACTTTCGCGAGCACGGTCGAATCGCGAAAGTTTGACACGCGAATATGAAATTTGTACTATTATGTACTACGCCATGCGTCGAAGATCGATCTTTTTGCAACAGATCTGTACAGTACATGCGCATGCATCACTCAATGCACTGACTGTACATTCACAGCGTTGATCGATGCTTGCACGGCCGGCTATGTCCAACCAAAGCGCGCAGCTGTTGCAACGACGGGTTACGTACTAACACCAGTCTTGCAAGTACATGTAACAAACATTACTTGTCGTTGGAGTATGGCGACTTGAACCAGAAGAGAATAAAACGATCGACTGGAGAATGTCTCAGTGTTGTGGAGAGTGTTGTTGAACTTCTTGGAGCGTTTGGCCAGTTTGCTGTTGCGTAGATTTTAGTGTTGTACTGCTCGAAGAAGTCTTCTGAATTTTATCGCGATGAGTATCGCAGTGGCTCAGCAGCCGGTCGAAGAGAAAGTCTTCCGATGATCCCTCTTCGAAATTGCCATCCTTTCTCCCAGTACTAGTACTTACCTTATGGTTCTCTTTGATGCATTGATTCCTTCTTACATTCCTTGATTCCTTCTTTCATTCTTTGATTTCTTCTCTCATTCTTCATGCACTCTGCGCCTAGCACACCTAGGCTTCATAAAATAAAATTCTTTGATTTTCGGTGGAAGGTAAAATCGCTAAAATTAATCGACGCTAACTGGTCCAGTTTGCCAAAACGCTAAATTTAGCCTCCGCGAAAGTATGTCGTTTTACAGTAATCTCTATTACGCAGTCTCTTGTAGAAGCCCAGTCTCTATTATAAGCGCACTCCAAAGAGGGCTTCGAAGATACTAGCGCAGTCTCCAATATAAGTGCAGGGCTTATAATGGAGAACCGTATGGATCATGTTAATGCATGTTTGACGTCACTATATGTTGGACTCAGTAAAGCGTCCAGCCCCTATATGATGTCCAACCCCTATAGAGTCCATTGGTCCAAATCCACTGTACAGAGTCCAAACTTGGAATCAACTGTGAGCTTAAAGTTTAGATGGACATCACTCCCTGTATAGAGTCCAGCCAATTGGCTTCACCCCCTATATAGAGTCCATTGGTCCAAAATCAACTGTATGGAGTCCAAACTTTGAAATCAACTATAAGGAGTCTTTATGTGGACAACACTCCCTGTATAAAGTCCAGCCAATTAGGCATCCCCTATCCAGAGTTCGAAATTAGACACAGGATCTGCTGTAAGCAGTGAATATTAACCAGAAAACGGCCTCTCCCTTTAATCCTTTACATCATTCACTTCTCAAGAAAACAAAATAAGTATTCAGGCGCCACTGCAGACACTTCATTACATGAAAAACCCTACAAACATCCTGAAATCAAGTGGTCTCTTCGCAGATGCTGCAAATTACAATATCTCAATCATGTAGTGTTGCCAAATTATTGTGCACGCACTCACACACATGCACACACCCACACAACGCCAAGAAAATACCTAGAAAAAACAAGAATCGAAAGAGAATAATGGAGAGCCAAGGATTAATTTTTTTTTCAAATTATTGTGTGCGCGCGCGCGCGCGCGCACACACACACACACACACACACACACACACACACACACACACACACACACACACACACACACACACACACACACACACACACACACACACAAAATTATTCAATGCCAAGAAAACACCAAGAAAAGAGTAGAGACACAATACACACGCAACTCCAACAGCCATGCAAACGTCCACCCATTTACACGTAAAGTCAAGAGGGATAAAAAATGATTATACGAAACGAATGCATACGGGGACGGGTACACGCATGTTTACATACACGTAGTAGTGTAAGAGAGTAACATAGCGCAGTAGTCAGCATAATACTAGCACATGCTGAGAGTGCAATAGCAAGCTTCACCATTGTTCATGGCCATGCAAGTGTTCAGCAGCACTCAGTTCCGCAAGCTTCTGGGAACAGCACACCTGCAACAAATAGATAGCACAAGGATACGCTTATTACCGTAATGATGCATGGGAGCACACAACTACCAAGTTCTCAACGAATGTGATGCTCAATGAAAATCCATCCACTGAAAGACCTGTGAACAGGTGACGGTGGGGACAATAATCTATTAGTAATACGAGGAATAAGATCGTTTGTGCACGCTCAAGACGCACAGACACACCACAATGCATGCAGTGTTCACAGTGTCTCACTTCACTGCAACTAAATTGAAATGAGATGATTTAAACAATCTGTACAGCGTTGCCGTCAGTCAGTCTTCCCCAAGATGGAAATGCAATGATTTGTTGTCACGAGGCAGCTTCACTGACACAATGCCATGTTTGTGACATCGAAACGGTTACTTCATGGAATACGAGTACATGTATTAGCTTGAGAAGCTTTTTCTTGTCATCGGCATACAAGAAATCCTCCTCCTCCTACTACTACTACTACTACTAGTACACTGGCACTGCGTTTGTGGATCCCATTGTATTTGACATCATACTAGAGCCTAGTAGAGGAAGAGTGTCGTGGAGTTCACATAATTATCACAGGGATAAAAATACATTTCTCATGAAATAAAATTATTGATGATAGCTAGACGATCGTATACGATTGATGCAACGTCCTTGCAGTCCTTGAGGACTATTACGAAGTGGTTGATTACTTTTAGGGCATTCATTCAAGCAACATCAAACAAACGCGATACGATCCTTGAAAATGGAAAAAAAATCAAGCATAACAACAGAACAGCAGACCAATCGAAACGAGTAACAGCTTCCTTACCTCAGTCATCGTCCTGCCATGTAGTTGGACAGCCTTTTGACACGGTGGTACAGGCAGCTCTTGTCCAGTCAAACAGGGTATCCTTCTGGCGTCGAACGAAAGAGAGTGTCAGGGAATCTGACTCGTCAGGTTGGAACTGTGCTGAACTTTTCTCGTTCTCCGCTTTCTGCTTTCATCCCTCGCTCTGATGAAACCATTCAAACGCCTTACTGGCAGCAATGGCCAGCCAAACAGGGGATCCTTGTGGTGTAGAGCGAAAGAGAGTGTCAGTGTACCTGACTCGTCAGATTTGAACTGTGCTGAACTGTTCTCGTTCTGCAATTTCTGCTTTCATCCCGCGCACTGATGAAACGTCTTCAGAGAACCACAAGACGCTTTCCAGATTTAATTTTGAACATCTCCTTATCCTCACTGGTTACCTCGAGACAGGTTACTGTCAGCAACTGCACAGCAGAACTGGCAGCAATGGCTGAAGTGAAGAAAGGAATGCGCTGCCACGGGCAAGCAAAACTGAAAAGGTGTTTGTTCTCTTTCGGGCAGAACACACAGGATGGCATGACTGGATAAACTGGACTTCTGGACCGTGAATAGGGGACTTGTAGAAAAAGTGTACTCCTTATAGGGGATTGCGCAGCAGGATGAAGCTGATCAAAACTGAGTGGACTCCTGGACTCTGTATAGTGGATTTTGGACCAATGGATTCTATATAGGGTGCTGGACATCATATAGTGCATGGACTCTATACTGAGTCCTACATATATAGTGACGTGTGTACAAAGGTCGTGTCGTATCACCTACAGACTGGAGACCACCTCCACCATTCGACCACGAAAGGTCGAGATGGTGGGACGGTCTGGCAGAACTTTATGCCTAATTATGGTATTTGCAGCACTTGAACTTACATTGTATATGGTGTGGACTCTTTTTTTTCTTCCCACATGTGTACATTTGTGCAGATGACGATGAGTGTGGAAGTCGTACACACAACTGTCCAGCCCTGGCAATCTGCAGCAACAGTCCGGGTTCGTATTCATGTGGCTGTGCAGTCGGATACCAAGACGATCCTTCCAACACGATGCATATCTTGAAATGCATAGGTGAGTTGGTGAACGCACCCATGTGTATGTGTGTGTGTGTGTGTGTGTGTGTGTGTGTGTGTGTGCATGCGTGTGCGGGTGCGCGTGCGTGTGTGTGTGTGTGTGTGTGTGTGTGTGTGTGTGTGTGTGTGTGTGTGTGGCGTGATGCAGTGGTTGTGCCCATCCCGAAGAAGGGAGATCTACACCACTGTGATAAATGGCGCTGCATCAGTCTGTTGGACGTTGTCGCCAAGCTTCTTGCCCGTATTCTGCAGGACCGCCTCAAAGCTATCGCTGAAGATGTCTTGCCAGACTCTCAGTGCGGCTTTAGAAAGGGACGTGGCTGCGTGGATATGGTGTACGTCGCACGACAGTTGATGGAGAAGACGTTGGAGCATGATTCAGATGCATATGTCCTGTTCGTCGATCTGAGAAAGGCGTATGACAGTATCCTGCGTGCAGCGCTGTGGCAGGTTCTCCAGAAGCTTGGTATTCCCCCGGCAATGCTCCGCATCATCCAGTCACTGCACAACGGCATGACTGCTTCTGTTCGGGTGGATGGCAAGCTGATTGACCCGATAACTGTACAGAATGGATTGCGTCAGGGCTGCACTCTCGCACCGATGCTCTTTAATTTTTACTTCTCTGCCGTCGTTGCCAGTTGGAGGTCCAGTTGTCCGGACGCTGGCATATCCTTTCGATATAAAGTCGGGAGGAAGCTAGTTGGTGACCGAACGGCGAAGGGGAAGCTCCTGTCATCAACGGTCACAGAATCCCAGTTTGCTGACGACGCTGCGCTCTACGCAACATCTCGGCCTGCCTTCGAAGCGATGACTTCCAGCTTCATCACATGTGCAAGCAGCTGGGGCCTAACGGTCAGTGTGAGAAAGACCAAGGGTATGGCTGTGGGTGAGTCTGATGATTGCTGTGACGTTGTTGTTGGAGCAGACACGATTGAGGTGGTGGACCAATTCACCTACCTTGGCAGTGTGCTCTCCTCGGATGGTCTTGCCTGTGCTGATGTCCGCTCTCGCCTTGCGAAAGCCTCAGCTCTGTTCGGAGCCCTCAAAGCTCCTGTCTTTGATAACAAGACCCTGTCGCTTCGCAGCAAGAGGTGTGTCTATGAGGCTGTCGTCCTCACGACCCTCTTGTATGGTGCGGAGACGTGGACCACCAAGGCAGGCCACCTCCAGAAGCTAAACACGTTTCACCATCAGTGTGTTCAGTCCATCGTGGGTATCGGCCGTCGTCAACAGTGGGATGATCGGATCACAATGGCCACATTAGCGGCTACATTCGGTGTTGACCCTGACATCACCAGCATCACCCGTCGCCACCGGCTTTGTTGGCTGGGTCACGTCGGCAGGATGGACGACTCGCGCGCACCGAAGCATTTGCTGTTCGGCGAGCTGCTTGCCCCCCGTCCTCGTCACGGCCCGAAAAAGAGGTGGCGAGATGTGGTGTCGACTGACCTAGCGGACCTCGGCGTGACCACCTGGCTTGAGAGTTGCCAAGATCGTCCCGGCTGGAGACGAGTTGCGAGTAGCACTCCACCGCCACGGCCCGCTCCTGATCCTCTTCTATATTCGAAAACGAATTGTACAAGCCGAAAGCCAAACTCCTACAGTACTCCTCATGCATGACATTGTGATGGACTAGGTGACTACAAAACAATTGTAACAATTCGTTTTCGCAAAGCTTCCCATTTCTTTACTTAAACGGTTTCCTCTGAAACAAAAATGCGATAATACTCATAAAAAGGACACACTTCAGGCTCATTACAAACATCTTGAAAGTTTTTTGTCTTCACAAGTATACTTTCAAGCCTTCTCGTCAGGTGATCCACACAAAGAAACCCAACCTTTGCAAGCAGAAACAAATCAAATTCACACTTAGGCTGTTAGGTAGGTCATCAAAATCTCGTTAGTTACATGTATGTCCAGTGGTTGTCTCTTGTTGTCGCACTACATGTCACGCTTATTGAGTTTTCTCACACTTGCACCTTTGTGTCATTATTGCAATTTTCGCTGTTTACTTTAGCTATCTTCTTTTTTGGGCTGTTTTACCACCTTCTTACTGTATTTAATCCAATGTTCCTGTTCCTTTTCCCTTGCCTGTATTTCACCTGACGAGAAGGCTTGAAAGTATACTTGTGAAGACAAAAACTTTCAAGATGTTTGTAATGAGCCTGAAGTGTGTCCTTTTTATGAGTATTATTTCTTTACTTATATTTGATATTTATGACCCACCCAAGTTGGGTGGTGTGCTGCTTTGCTGCTTCGAATTGTAGTTAGACCGCTTTTATAAATATCGTACTGGTCTCGTCATCGTCCAGTAACAATCGACATTCTTTGTTCCGTTGGGACTGTAGCTTTTGCTCGTTTTCGTTGCGCTTGCGTTCCCCTCTTTGGTCTTTCCATAACCTTGAACCTTCCAAGTTGGAAGGCTGTCGGTTAGCGCTACGGAGATGTGTTGAAGCTAGGTGTCAGGACGTCGAATGTCTCAGTACTCGGTCAGTTTTGTGCCTAGTTATTGCACTTTCTGACTGTATAAAGTATAATGTTACAGTGATGGAGAGGTACTCTTAACTCGTATCCATAATGTCTTTTCTTTTCAAACATTTATTTATGGCTCAACATCCGAGTTTCAAGTTCTAATAATATCATGCAATTGCATGATGAGCTAGGCAAAAAAGCATAGCGTAGGGCCCTGAGCTTCCAAGCTCTCTCATTCCCTGTTGTGTTGTGTTGCCATACTTCATCATATGGTGGGATTGTCAGATTGTGATCTAATGTAATGGAACACATAACTTGGATTTGAAATGAGCATTGATCTGACACTACATGTGTTTTTTACCTGCAGAAAAGCCATAGATTTGTTGCGAATTTCATGCTGAGTGCAAACACTTGCCTCACACAATCATATACTTGTACCACTACCCAAAAACGGTCTCTCGGCTACAAATTCTTCCAAATAAAATAAATAAATTTTATCCCAATATTCTGGCCAGGCCCGTCTTCAGGAACCGTACTGATTGAATACAAAAAAAATAAAAAAAATAAAAAGCGGTAAAGCGGCGGAATATTTCCAAGTAGAGTTCTCCTGATGTGATGGGTTTGACGTAGTCACTTGCTGTGTCAGACTAGCGCTGCTCGCCCAGTTGGATGCGACCGTCATGAGCAGATCATGGTTCGCATGGTGTGCGATTTAGATGACATTTTAACCCTTTGCATGCTGGCCTGTTTTCCACAGTAATCTGGCACTCCAGAGTGCGGACTCTCCTGGTGGAGTTTGGGTGCACTGCTCGGAACCAAATTTATTCTCATTTCAGTTCACCTGGATGGAATTTCCTCATCCTGGGCTTGTTGGAAAGATCAGGACCAAGCGAATCCATCCTGGAAGCTCTCAGGTCCACAGCTCCACCAGGGCCACTTCCATGACCTCTCCAAACTGGCCCACCATGCCTCGGAACGAAACAACAACTCAGTCACAAATTCTTTTTCGGCTCCTTGCTCAAATTCAACTGATTTTCACGATTCAAACTGCTCTGCAAAGCTGAGATCCACGCGCTTCATTTGATGTCCATAACGCATGCGCAGGGCAAAAGGGAAATCCCCTGGCACGCTCCAAAAAACTGCGAAGTCACGAACAAAACAATTCGCGATCACTCCAGCCCGTGATTTCCGTGTTCATTTTGTTGCCGCTCAGTGAATCTTTATCCTATCGCGAAGAACTTTATATCTCTGGAAAGCTGAGCTCAATACCTTTCCAACGGTGTATCGTATGTGGAGATCGGATACGCTTTCACAGATTAGAGTAACGAAACTTTGTACACTGGTCTATTCACCACGTACACGACGCAAACCGAAGCGCGTGTATACACGTCCTCAGAGAACCGGCATGGGGTTCAGGCGCGTGTATACACGTCATCCGCACGCAAAGGGTTAATGATTTCCGCTCAAGTCCCCCCCCCCCCCCCCCCCCCACACACACACAAACACACTCACCCTACACACACCTCAACTGCAATTGACAGCAAACTACACTTGGCTGAACTCTTTTTTCTTTTCTTTTCTTTTTTTTACTTGTGTGTTTGTGCAGATTTTGATGAGTGTTCAAACGGTGGACACACCTGTCCAGCCCTGGCAATCTGCAGCAATAGCGTGGGTTCGTACTCATGTGCATGTATAGCTGGTTACACACAAGACCCTTCTGACAAGACGGGTAGTTTGGTATGCAAAGGTGAGTTGGGTGGATGACTATACTGCTGGTAGCTTTCATTCCGCCATTGTGTCCACAGCAGGCCATTCAGGAACGCACACAATCACTCACATGTATGCATACACACAAACGCGCACGCACACACACACATACACACACACACACTCACACACACACACACTCACATACACACATACACACAGATACATGCACAGATGCACACACACACACATACACGTGCACACACGCACAAACACGCACACACACACACACACACACACACACACACACACACACATTAGCTTGAATGAGTAATAGGCTACGGTGAGAGATCAAATGCAGTCTAGTAGTCAATGATAAAGACAGTATTATTTAGTAGGAGTTTCGGCTTATCGAAGACAGTACTCCAGTCCAAGGTACTGAGACAAAGAGCCCTTAACAGCTGGAAGCGGAAGTGGCTAACAATCTTCATTTAGTTTAGAAGGGACCATTCGCAAAATTAAAAGTAAATGCTTGATGTGAGCTGGGAGGTGGGAGGTACGTGGTTGAAATGCGGAAATCTAACGAACCTCAAGTATGATCAGACCCAGAACGAAGCAAATTTGAGAAGAGGCACATTGGTACGCAGGGCCAAGAAAACTGCAAAGTTCACTTGCACCATCTTGTTTGGTTGGCAAGGTTTTCGTGACGTACTGCATCTATGACAATAGTGAGCGTGCGGACACAGGTCACACACAAACGGGCATGCAACGAGAGTTAGAGTTCGAGCATGAAGCAAGTGTTAGAGTGCGAAAAGCGAATGCAAGAATGCAGTCAGAGTTGGAGTGTGATCATGTAACAGTTGTGTGAGCGGGCGATACCAAAATTTGAGCAGTTAATCTGCATTTCTATCATAATGGTACACGCACATACACACATACACGCACGCTCGCACACAGACACACACACACACACACACACACACACACACACACACACACACACACACACACACACACACGTACACACACGTACATGAAACACACACACACGTAGACACACACAAACACACACACACAAACATCAACAATAACCACCTGTGTGTTCTATGGCGTTCCTTCCCCAGATGTTGATGAATGCTCTGGTGGTGGACAAAGCTGTCCAGCACATTCAGCTTGTATGAACACGGATGGTACATTTCAGTGTTCCTGTCATGCAGGCTACCAACCTCACATCTCAAGCACTGGACGGACATGTGAAGGTCAGTTGTTCAACTAGGGGCTCTTATCCCGGCACCTCGGTTCTAATGTATTGCTTAATCCTTTAAGAAGATGATCATAAGTTTATGATTACGGGTGATACTTTTTAAAAAAGCTATCGTAGCTCGGTCGTTTCTCAGTCTTTTGCAGAAAGTGAAGTGTTTACAGTCCATTCATCGGAAACTGGCCCGCTGGCTTTTGAAAGTCGGATTTGGGCCAAATTGCGGATCAAAAACCCACTTTAAATCTAAAAATCTGGGTTTTGGATCTGCTCCTCCATACATTTTGCCATCGCATACCTGTCCTAATATTGTAAAACCTGGCTGAATTTCTATTTCCCTGTTCTTGGACTTTTCTGGTCTCAAATGTGGCTAGGAGTAATTGTACCGGTCACACAATGCAGGATGTTCTGTTGTTTTCACGATATCTACAACTATGTGAGAGAGACACCAAAAAGTTAGGGTGCCAGTTTCCAATGTATGGACTGTAGGTCGAACAGAGCACCGTGGCCTCGTGGAATAGGCAAGCATTGGCATTTGTCCGCACGCAGGTGACTCCTGATAAAGCAAACACCATTGCCCCGGAGAATTAGTTCTTTTTAGTCGACGTTCTTTATAACAGAAATACCCTTACTTCATACAGGCAACACGTCGTGACTGGCATTATGGTCCATGATCGTACATGTGCACTTGATTTACATGCGGCCTCTCAAGACAAGGTTCGTAGTAAACTAAAACTGCCCACTACAGAGAATCAATGTTGTATCGATTCGAACAGGGACTTGGACACTGGTTCCCTGTATAATGAATATCTCTAGGTGAGAGTTCGTTATAAGTGAAGTCGACTGTATGTAGCATGCGCGGGTATTCATGCATCTGCTATACATTCCATGTCGGTACTAAAATTGCTCATGTTGTATCTGGAAGAAGTTTGAGGCAAGTTTGAGGCACGCCTAAAGTTCTCAGTATCACATGCACTCTTGCACTGATGTACAGTCCATTTCATAACTATAGACGCGCAGTGTTTTTGAAATAGTTCAAATCTGGCTGGAACTTTTTGAGAATAGTTTTCGGAATATTGCTCAGGTCCGCTCCACAATTACTCTCATAATAGTTTCTAAACGATTGGATAACAGACGCCCAATTTGGAAAAATTATGCACAAAGTGATCACAGATTTTATGTGGTATAGATGCTGGCATAACGGTTTTTGCCTAGGTACGTGTCTATAGTTTTGAAATGGACTGTAGTGTTGAACCAAACAGCAGGGCAATTCGAACAGTTTAAAAGAATTACCGGACGTGCCTTGGGAAGCGTTAGAAGGCGGCGTCCACAAAGATCAATCTTTTTTAGAAAATAATATATTGGTTCGTTTGGGGGAGGGGGAGGGGAGGGGTTTTAGTCCCTGTTCGTCTCGTTCTTTAGAAAAAAATATCGATCTCGAGATTTGGATGGGCACTGCAAAAAGGAAATAAAAAATATAGATACCCTGCATAAACGTATGTATGTTCGTTTTGAGGGGGGGGGGGGGGAGGGAGCATGGGATACATGAACAAATGTCTACTTGAAAAAATTGATATTAATAGACGAAATAGTGGTCGCGACAATTTGTAGATGGCCACTAAATTAATCTCTATGAATTTGTTACCAAGGGAGCGAAAACGTTCGGCAAATTCAAACTATTCGGATCTTCCTGCCGCTTAGTTCTGCTGTGACAGCGCATTTGTAAATGTAGCATTTACAAGGCTGTTTTACCTCTATCTTATTGTTTGTGTCCAATCTAAAGACGAAAATGAATGCTTGAATGGCCAGCACAGTTGCCCAGCTAACTCCAGCTGTGTCAATAGCAACGGATCATATTCATGTCCTTGCCTTATTGGCTATCAAGCGAAGCAATCAAGTTTAGGATTGATGTGTGAAGGTAAGTACTGATTGTGATTCACTGCCCAACAGCTGTGCTGCTACATACTGTAAGACCAGTAATGTTAATGAACATTTAATTCCAACGATTTAAAGAATTTAAAACAAATCGTTAGCATTTGAAGTTGTTATGTGCAAAACGATATGTACATGTACAGTCATTTGCCGGTTTTGAGACGGAATTCGTTAGAATTTCACCTCGCTAACCCACGAGAATCCGGAGATCGCTAACTTTGCACTTTTATGTGTGCGACTGTTAGACCGCAACCAACAAACTGCTTGTAACTTGGATATTACTGGGAGTTTTTGACTAATTTTTTTAACCCTTAGGTGCCGGTAGGTCGATTTCGACCTATGCTGACAGTGCATACTAAAATCGAGCACAGAGCCAGTCTCGTACATTGCAGGTGCCTGATTTTTTGTACAAAGACCCTTCAGTAGCTGGCCTGTAGATAGCAATAGAGAAAGTAGGGGGGTTGCATTTGAAAAAGTCGAGTCGTGATCAACGACGATCGCGCAGATCAGCGGAAGTCAATGGAGCGTGGCAGCCTACGCACACGTCCCGCAACATGAACAAAACGTTGCTGTTTCGCTTCGTTTTCGACTAGTACAGTTCATGGCTACTACAGCTGACCTCCGTCATGGATGCTGCAGGAGCGCTTGAGTTGTTTGAAGAGCTGGAGGCCGATGATGCCCCTGTAGAAGAAGAATCAGAAGACGACGATGGTGAATAAACTGACACTCTTTTCTCTGACGGAAACCTGCCGTCATCAGATGAGGAAGACCGACTCAACGATGATTTGGTTTTCGGTGAATTTCTTGAGAACGGCAGCTCTTCAGATGAGGACAAAATTTCCGACGATGAGCTTCAAGAAGCTGTAGGGCGAGGGCAAGCGCAGCCAGTTTGTGGACGTGCTCCGCTCGCGCTGCGCGGAGGAATTGCTCGCGGCGCTGGTCGAGCTCAGCCAGCTGATCGAACAGCTGATCGTGGCGTGCGTGGCGCGTGTGGCGGAGGCTGTGGCGGAGGCCGTGGACGAGGTAGTGGATTCGGCGTGCTGAGTGGTGTTGGCGACCAAGATGTTCTTGGACCAGCGCAGTACCCTGACCCTATTGTAGATTTTTCTGACTTGAAAATTCAAAAATCGGATCTTGCTGTATCTTGCCATTCAGAATACATACTTTTGTCGCTACATCATCTAAACGGTTGCGGAGATATAGGCTTTCCAAAAAATTGAGCCAAAACTACGAAAAATCTAAAATTCAGTTAGGCACCAAAGGGTTAATGATTTCTGGAGCTTGCAGGCACATGGTGCACCAAAGAATCCGATATCTAAAATTTGAGGCTAAGCACCCTTTTCGCGTACTCTGGCTCAATTGAAATATCTAGTCTTACAGTAGATATGCCAAACTAGTGCAGCTACATGTTACAAGCACATGCGCATGGGACAGTCAACATTGTTACCATCAGCAGTGTGCCATTGGGTTTGATGGATTTGGAACAGATGTGTGTGTGTGTGTGCGTGCGTGCGTGCATGCGTGCGTGTGTGCTTTCACGTGTGCGTATGTGTGTGCGCATATGTTGGTGTGTGTGTGTGTGTGTGTGTGTGTGTGTGTGTGTGTGTGTGTGTACACGTGTGCGCGTACTGGGTACAGGTAAGCATGTATTGCGTGTATCCACACACGGGAACTTGTACACACATTATAGCATGCACTAATGGGATCACTTTTGCGACACACTTCCTCCATGATAATATTGGTGTTGTTGGACCTGTGTACTGTTTATGGCCAAACTCAAGATGTGAATGAATGCACGAGTGCCCGACACACCTGCCCAGCTAACTCCAGCTGTGTCAATAGCCGCGGATCATATACATGTCCTTGCGATACTGGATATCAAGCAATCAAGTCAAGATCAGGACTGATATGTGACGGTAAGTGATGGTTTTGCTTCATTTCTCAATAGCTGTTTTGCGACGTAGAAGTACAGTCAGACCTCGCTTATCCGGTCCTCTTTTGTCTGGATCCCTCGCCTTTCGGAAGAACATAGCTAGTTGCAGATTTACAGCATGCATGGTGCATCCAACATAACCAGTGTTCGGTTATCCGGTTCCCTCTCCTATCCGGATATTTTTGTGGAAAATGAATGTGTGGGGTTAAGCAAGGTCTGACTGTACCCTCATAGGTTGGTGCTACTGGCATGATGAGTCCGGGTAGAGCGATGCCAGTTTTTACCGATTCCAACGCTCGTGGAGTGTGCAGTGTGCAGCGGGCCGCGGACATGAGTGCGCACGTGGGCATGTGCGTGCACGCCTTACTTGCATGTACACATGGAAGCTTGCACGTGCATTTAGTGTGCACGAGTGTACATACAATTTGTCACTCCACCTACGAAGATGAACTGATCTTGTTGTTGTCTATGTGATATCTGTGACCAAACTCAAGATGTGAATGAATGTATGAGTGGCCAACACAGCTGCCCAGCTAACTCAAGCTGTGTCAATGACGACGGATCATATACATGTCCTTGTAATATTGGCTATCAAGCGAAGAAATCAAGTTCAGGACTGATGTGTGATGGTAAGTAATGCTTGTGCTTCACCCCTCGACAACTGTGTTGTAAAATAGTCAATCATCAGGCTCATGGTGTGGGTCATGATACGGCTATACACTCTTGTCTATCTGAATGTAAGGTATCAGAAACAGACACTAAAACTGCATGAGACGGAAACGCTTTTCGTCTCAAGATCGATTCAATTCGTGAAACTCAGGATCACAAAACGCAACTGTTTGTCCTTGTGTTTGTGTATTCTGCTCTTTGCCTTGGGCAAATTGAGACGGTGGATGAACCTCACTTGCTACAAAAGGGAACTATAATGTTGCGTATAAAAGGCGAGCTTATTCTTGTGGGAGCAGTTTCTCCAGCCGTTATGCTACCCACAGTCCACTGGGGACTTTTGGACAGGCACAAGGGGTACATGGATGCGGCTATTGGGGTTTTTCAGCACTTGTGCCAGTGATTGTGAGACTTATCTCTCCCCCCCCCCCCCACCCACCCACAGTTAGGCGCTGCACCTGGCACTGGATTTACAGGGTGTTAGCGGCCTTCGTGAGTTCACTCGGGAACGCACACGATAATAATACTTCTTTCCTTGTAGAAAATCGCGGCACAGCAATGCACAAGCAAAACCATGGAAACCACGCACTCACACTGTATACATAGCGCACTTCAGCGCCTCCGCTGACGCCGTCGCTGGTCACGTATTTGCCCAAAAGTAGTTCTGCTGACTCACTAATCATGACGTCATTCGCATTGCCTCTGTTGTTTCCCATTGTGGTCGGCAGCAGACGTTGACGAGTGCAGTGCTGAATCACACGGGTGTTCACAGAATGCAACGTGTACCAACACAGCCGCATCATACACGTGTTCATGTCAACGTGGATACAGCGGTGATGCAAGAAAGAACTGCTCAGGTGAGGCGTGTGACTCGTCAAACAGTGAAGACTGTGCAAGAGAAACCAACTTGTGTTCGTACTTGACCTGTAATGTGTGATAAGCGAGATCCTGATGGAGGACCAGACCTTTTGTTCGGATCATTCTAGCTTTTATTGTGTTACTGTAAAAGCCATTATTCTAACGAGGCACATATATAACAATTTCCCAAAATTGACTAGTTTACGTGTACCAAAGGTTACGATTCTCACTCATTCTCAACGCTCAATAGGACAGTAGATTCCATCCCGCGACAGCGCGTCCACTACAGCGCGAGGCATTTCAGCGCGACCACTTCAGCGCAAGGCATTTCAGCGCGAGGTAGTGTCAGCGCGAGGCACTTCAGCGCGAGGTAATGTCAGCGCAAAGCACTTCAGCGCGATGTACTGTCAGCGCGAGGTAACGTCAGCGCCAGGCACTTCAACGCATATATGTCAGCGCGAAGCACTTTCGCGCGTACTATAATACGCAGTACTGCGTCGATGGAGCCATCCCTCAACACCGTTGTTGGTCCTGACGTCCCTTCCATGGCAGCACCACAGCGACATCGGAACGTTAGCATTTTCAATCCACTGTGTCCGCATGTAATCTGTCAATTGTTGAAGGTTTAAATCAGAGGCGATCTCCTCCAACCAATCGAAGGCGGCTGTGACCTGGTCTTCTGGCAGGAATGGCAATGCCATCAGTTGACGACAGCAGTCCTGTAGGTCACCACCAGCATTGTAAAGTTCCTGCATGCCGGCTGCTTAAATCTTTCTCCAGATCGCCTGAGTGCAATGGAACAGACAACCTTTCGACTTGGCGGCGGGAAATTCATCTGCGAAACCAGCAATCATTCCTTGTTCGAAATCGGACATGCAGGTTGCGGGGTTGAGAGGAGGTAGTCTTTGGCTGTCTCAAATCGGTTCAATTCCATTTTTGAGAGTTAGCTTGCATAGGAAAATTAAGGAAAATTATGGCCTATCCCCGAAAATACTCTGTCTTTTATAGGGCGACTGGTGTACATGGCAGTGGTAATACCCCATACAAGTTGTCAATAGTCACTTATAGTCACTAATTGGTGCCCGTACGTACATTAACATGTACAGCGCTGAAGTGCCTCCCGCGGAAAAAAATCTGCGCTGAAGAAATTGGCGCTGACATGTCCTGCGCTTTAAAATTTCGCGCTGAAATCATTGGCGCTGTCAACTAAAGGAGAACTGAAGGTCAGAGGATCGCAAATTCGCAATGCATATCAGAATATTCAACCTACAATTGTGTCTATAATACACGAATACATCGATAACGGCAGATCAAGCAATCAAAACCAGTGTTCCGACAGTAAAATCAGTATAAGCAATATTGATCGATCAGCGATCCACACATCTAAACAATAAATGCCGTTGCACTACACGTGCAGTGCAGAATCTACACATGTACTGTAAACACGCATGCGTGTATTTAGGAAGGAGATAAAACACCTACTGTTTCGAAACAAGGAGTTACTTTGTTTACTTCCTGGAAGCCATGGAAGTTGACCGTCCTTCTCGGTCTCGTGCCTCGATGGATGCCTGGGTTGGTGCGTTCCTGACATGGATACCAGCAAAGGAGCCGACTGGCGAGTCATCGGTGTCGACAATGTCATCAGTGCCGCTGTGCCGGCTGCTCCGTCGAGGTTTACAGCTTTCTTGTAGTAAGCAAAGTCTCCTACAGCATGCTCAAATGCCAATTCCTTGGGCGTCCATGCGAGCTCGAGCGGGTATGCTGCTCCTGTCTCCGGTACTATCGGCTGTGGCTCCTGCTGGCCTAACAGAACATCCTCATCGTCAACCTCATCATCGTCATTTGCTTCATCGGCCAAGTTCAGGTTTCCCTGACACTGGAGAAATTCCTTCTCGTCTGTGGTCAGATTACAGCATCCCTGCTCGCGAAACAAGGAAACGTTTGGCCTCTGGAAGTACATCTCGTACGGAGTTTCCCGTGTAGGCTTCTGTGGACGCGGTTGTTGTAGCTGTAGTAAAGCAGCGGCAGACGATCAGGCCATTTTTTATCTTCCAGCAGGTCACGTCTTAGGAATTGCGCCAGTGTCTGGTTGAAGCGCTCTACCCGGCCTTGACTTTGTGGGTGATACGATCGTCCGTTGATCTTCTGTCCCCGCATCTCCTCCATGAGTGCCGACAAATCACCACTGTTGAATTCTTTCCCGTTGTCCGTTTGGAGAATTCTTGGAGGCCCGTACAAGTACATCGCAGAAAGGATCACTCGGCACACTTCCTTCGCAGTCTTGGCTCCCGGAGTCATGGGGTTATTGAGGATTTCCTGGTTCTTCCATTTCTGTCATACAAGGTCATGGATCCCTTGCACTCAGAGGACCCAGTCAAGACGTCATGTGTGCACTTGCATGGCTTCCTTTTTTGGTCAAACCCGCCCTGCTATAGGGAGCCAACCTGTTATAGGGACCCACATACTAATATACTACATCGGGACTGTCCCGGCCAAATCGGGATGATTGGCAGGTAAGAACACATCTGCTGCATGTATGTGCTCATGTTGCAGACGTGAATGAATGCTTGGCTGGGTCGCACAACTGTTCGGACACCGCCACTTGTGTCAACGTGGCCGGAGCGTACAACTGTACGTGTGGCGACGGCGCGTTGGTGGATGACCTGGCTAGCTGTGTGCAGCTCAGTAAGTTCTGCAAACGAGTAGGATACTGTGTTGGCTAGGGTGGAAGATAGCCAGGCAGGGGTAAGGGGGAAGGGGTGGGACAGTAGGATAATGGGGCAGGGGCAAAGGGGTGAAAGGGCAGGACGGTAGGATAATGGGCAGGGGTAAGGGGTGCACTGTGTAGCATGGCAATTTCGAAATATTTCTGTTTTACAGTATATGGGCCACACCGGGGGGGGGGGGGGGGGGGGGGCAGCTAACCCGACATGACAGAACAGCATAACTCCGGCGGTAGTGTTTATTTCTTATCCGCGGATCCCTCGCGGAATTCACCGGCGAGCCCTTGGCAAGTCACCGCCGCGTCGTTGTACGGCGGGTGCGACTTCTTCCATTAGCCTCTTCACGGCTTTGCACACGCTTCTCCGCTCTTGTGTGCACGTGTGTCATTCTTTGCACTCGACTCTCCTTTCTTGCGCTTGACTCTCTTTTCTTGCACGTAGCTCTCACTCTTTTTGCGCACGGCCCTTCGTGTCTTGCATGAAGTACGAAAGGGATCATGGAAATCAATAGAACTTCTTAGTCACATGATTTTGCACAAAGCCTTGAGATGCATTTCCAGGAAGTGAAGAACTTCCTAGAACATACACCGAGAGAACCTACCTGACCGGGGTCCAGGGTTGGATCACATGATGTGTCACACCCAAGAGGCATTGTTGCGGTCCTGTGGCCGTGGTAGACAAGATTTCCTTCGAACCATTACTTGTTCTTGTTCTTTACAAAGTGGAATAAAACTGAAACTCCAAGAGTTCTGAAAAGCAAAGAGCGACACGTGTACATGTAGCTTCAAACAGAAAAGCTGGCAACGCAAAAAGAAACATGCAGCCAAAAAAGATGCCTAGCTCTGGCGTACATCGTAGAGGTCACAGCGCATCCGGTGCACTGCGCCCCAAAGGTCCAGGCACGGCGCCCCAAGGAGTGACGACATCCATAAACTGCATCGCATCATGCAATGCAGATAGAGCGATAGCGTACCGAAACTAGTACTACAAAATACAAACAAATTCGAACAAGCAAATACAATAATTGTGAAGTCATGTGTAAAGTGTCTGTAACAGGCATGACACCTACGTGTGATGTCATGCCCATGAGCCGTGGGACAGTACTATATAGCTCAACCTACAACCTACATGCTGAGCAAGTGGGACAAGACACTGGCCAAACCGCATGGTACTGCAGAACGTGACAGCTCAACACAGAGCTGCACGCTACATAGATCCTGCTATCACAGGACCTGTCAGACAGCGGTCGTCACGTCCAGGGATGTCACACTAGCAAGATCCTGTTGCCACTGGACTTTCAAGCAGTAGTCGAAAAATCAAGTTGGTAAACAGGGGAGTAGACAGGGCAGTAAGCAGGGGAGTAAGAACTGGTGCAGGAGGTGCAGCCAAAGCTGTACCAATAGCTTAAGAAAAAGTCTGAAGAAAAATTGACTGTCACCACCAGGACTCAAACCGAGACCTTCGCTTAGCTTAATCTTGTGGGTTTTTGAAGCAATACGAAAATGGGCTATTTAAACTCACCTCTCCATGGTCGCACCGATGTGGAAAACCTCCCGACGCCCCGGCTAAATACTGTGTGTTATCCTGTCTCGTTTGACGTGTGCCCAGCACCTCGTGCAGATGATGCCAGAAGCAAGTGGGTTTTTATTGGCCTTGGTGTTGGCGTCATTCTACCTATCGCCGCCATCGTGCTGATGCTCGGCGCCAAGAAACGCATGGAGCGCAGTGTATCCAAGAAACGCAAAACCAGTAAGTGCCCCGGGGGGCCCGCTGACATTCGTCACATGAGTGTACAGGGATTGTCTGCATGAGTAGGCATTCCTGTGATTGTGTAGAGTGCAGTATTGTCCCCCGCCGGTACCAGTGCATTGTTACTACTGTTGTTGTTGTTGTTGTTGTTGTTGTTGTTGTTGTTGTTGTTGTTGTT